ATCACGATTAGGATTAAGGGTTTTCTTTGTAAATAAAAACACAGGTGGTTGCAGGTGGATGTGCATTCGCATGATGACGAATAAAAGATCATTAAAAAAATAAATAAAACTATATAAGATTACGTACGTATTTGCCCTCAAATTTCCTGGCGAGAGCCTCGACTTCTTGCCGCTCCTTGTCTTCATCTGCAAACGGGTCGCTGGGGTCCAGAGCTGGAGTGAGACCCTGAGGAACCTTCCTCACCTTTAGGAGCAAAAGAAAACAGTCAGACCGAACCAATCAATCATTTACAGTCTCAAATGCGAGCAGATACTGTTATGCATTTTTTTTATTCATTCCAAATAAAGTTCAGCTTATATATATACATAATGCTCATCAAAGTTACCACACTGTTTTTGTGAATGCAACAATTTACCCAAAATTACACACAATACATGCCAAAAACGGAATCCAAAAAGCATTTAATAACAGAGCAGCACTACATTTAGCACTGACAAAAAAGAGAAAAAAACACCAGATCTGTCAAGCTAAAGTCATTAGCCAAATACCACCTAATCAATACATATAAAGTAATGTATTGCTAATTAACTGATGTTTTTATTCAAAAACTGAGGAGAGATTGTAAAGAAAAGCTTCATCAAGAAACCCGTGTTTGAACTTACAACCTTTACCAGCTCAGATCTTTTACCACAACACCATTCAAGACAAATCTAACTGTTACCAACTGAATGAACTGATGCTACTTCTTCATTCATAACGGGTTCAGTGAAATAAAAACGTGTTTCGAACATAAAACACCTTCCAGTTTCCAGCTCAGGTATTTAATAACCACTAAACCACACCCTTGTCACGTATATCAGTCTGTGATACAGCTGTTGTTAACGTGAAGTATTGGACTTTAAAAAGTTTCATCTTAAGTATCGCACAATGCAGTTACTACAGGTGAAGTTCTTGGGGTTCCAGAGACGATCTTTCCCGTTTTCTCACCTGCAGGTTGGACTGGGCCAGCTCGCTGTAGTTGAACTCGGCGGATCTCTGCTCGCTCGGTTCTGACAGGCTCAGGTTCAGGCGGACGGTGGGTTTGGGTTCGCCGGGGTTCGATGCCGGTGTCCCGGTACCGAACAGCCCCCCGCCGCCGGTGACAGCGGGGCTCGGTTCATTCTCTTCGTCCTCGCGTCGGCGCTTCTTTGACTCGGGTGCCGCCGGTGTGCTGCTGAACGAGGCGAGCGTGATGAACGGGACTTTTCTCGGGTCCGCCATTGGTCCGACTCTCTCCGGTTCTGCTCGAGCCCGGTCACACGGGCGCTCCTGACTGTTAGCTTGAGCTAAAACTAGCGCTTACACTGTTAAACAGCACTTCAGCGACGGCTCGGGACGAAACGAACTACGTTTTGCGTTATATAATACTCCCTCGCAGCGTTCGCGTCCCATCCGTTTCATTTAGTCGAGTGTGAGAGTAGTTTTTGTCTCACTGTGTGAAATCTCGCCAGCATCTGTAGCGGCCATTTTCTCTAGCAGAAAATACAGGATGAGGCGGTGGGGTCACTGAGCATGCGCAGTGCGCGCGAGGCTGGAGCTCGACCAATCAGAAGTTTCAAATCGCTCTAAGACCCGCCAACTCCGAATACTCCAGCGGGAGAGGGCGGAGCCGCTTCTGTGCACGCCGACCGCGGAGTTTGATTCATCCCAGTGAGTCGAATCTTTTGATTCATCCCAGTGAGTCGAATCTTTTGATTCATTTGACAAAAAGACAAGTGGTCAAGCAAACTTAAATGTAGCCTGCTCTTTCTGTAAGTTACATAATTACACCAGTAGGTGGCAACCAGTGAATATTATGAGCAAGTCTTCCTTCACTATGAACATTGTAAAAAATAAAAACAAACTTACAAGACCATACAAGTTGCATTATCTTTTATTAAATCACACATATGTACAGCTTTATAGAGTTATATTTTACATCAGTAAAACCTTTCTCAAAGTCTGCACTGCTCCCTGGAGCAATTTATTCATTGATCATAATTACGTTAGATTAATTTCGAAGTGTTTTTATTATTTATAAAAA